TCATTTTTTAACTTGTGGTTATATTTGAATGGTGGTCAGGGAAATTGACACATGTTGGTCAGGGAAATGAAAAATAAAATTTCACTGGCAACCCTGAACATAAACACTGTCTTCAGTTCCATATTTATTACCTCAAAATTTGTTATTGCTGATTAGCTTAGATAGCATGAAAAGCTATTTTAAACATCTTGTCTTTTCCATAGTGACCAATCCAATCAGATGTCTGTGAGAAGCCTGTAGGGGCACTGGCCCTCTACCTCCATTATTTTATGTATTTATTTTGCCAGCAGTCTTTACAGCCTGTAAACATGGAGCATATATAGCTATGGACTGGTAGCTTTAAATTGCCTTAACTTATGTGAATTAATATTTCTTTTTAAAGTAAACTAAATTGCTGTCCAATACCACATAATATAGTAGCACATTTTATGTATGTGATGTAAGAATGTGAGTCCTTTCGTAAAATGAACGCCTGGGACTCACACTGCAACCTATGTTGCAAGCTCCAGAAATCCGATCTGTAGCCACTCACACACATTTCTTTCTCCTCTGCAGAAACCATCAACATAGACTTGCTGTCCTTCTGCAGGCCATGTTCTCAGAGCAGGCTGTCCAGTCTGCACAGAGTCTCTTGACCTCCCCATCTGCAGCAGCTTCTATCTTTGCCCGTGTGCCCATCAGCAGCTATACCAACTGCTCCCAGAACTTCAGACTTGGGGAGCGGACTTTCAATCGGCAGTATGCTCACATCTATGCCACACGCCTCATTCAGATGAGACCATTACTGGTGGAGAGAGCCCGACGCAAATGGGGTAAGTGCTTTCAAAATAGCATTCTTCTCTTGTGGTATGACATGTGTTAGAAGTTGTGGATGTCAGTGGCTCTGCTTGGAGTGAAAACAGTGCAGTTCTAAACAGTCTAGAATGGCAAAGACTGGTTGAGTTAAAGTCCTGCTGAGTCAACCTCCCAGCTTTGGGTGTTGAATTGTGGATACCCTGGATTGGTAAACAAGAAAGGCAAACAAGTGGGCCCTTGATCAAACCAAGCCTGAACAACCTCTAGAGGCCGAAATGTTGAAACGGAGGCCGTCCTACTTTGGACACATCATGAGAAGGCAGGATTCTCTGGAAAAGACAATAATGCTGGGAAAGGTGGAAGGCAGCAGGAAAAGAGGAAGACGAAATGTAAGAGGAAGTGACTATCTAGAAGAACCCACAGACTTGAGTCTGCAAGAGCTGAGCAGGGCAACTGAGGACAAGACCTTCTGCAGACTGCTCATTCATAAGGTCACCATGAATTGGAGGTGACTTGATGGCACAACAACAACCTCCCTAGCTGGCAGGACGGCTTTCTGAGTTGGGCAGATGGCTGTGGAGCCAGAGATTAGGAGTTTGATTCTCCAGTGAGAAGAGCCAGCCTGCTAATCTGTTGAGCTGCAGTTCTTCCTACACATGCTAGTCCTCCTGCACTTCTGACTGAGGTAGCTTGCCATTTGAGTTAGTTGTAACTTGCTTGAGTAACATACTTAGATGTAAGCCGATTGTAGTGTCATATGTTTAAATGACACCACAGTTGCTACCCAAAGCATACTTAACTCGGAGGTAAATGCTTTCCTGTTTGGGGTCAGTCTGCCAACTGCTCTTCCAGATAAGCCTGTTCGGCAGCTCGCTTTTTTCTTTTTGTCTTGCAGGTTATTGAGGTACCACTTTGTATCAAGAGAAATGTTCTCACTGCTGCAGCAACATTGGCAGGGTGTGAATGGGCATAGGTGTGATAAGGTTGCCCAGTTCCTGGTTCATCACCCCCCCCCCTCGACACTGCAGCAGCAATGGCAGCACAGTATAGATGGCGAGGGGAGTGATAAGGTGGCCCAGTTCGCACGCACGCACGCATGCGGCAGTGAGTTGGGAGGACTCGCAAAAAAGAGCCAGTCCTCCCTCCTTGTCTCACAAGGAGATCTGTGCCCCTTTCTCCCCTCTGATAGAACTCCAGCAGAGCAGGGGAGGGGGGGAACAGCCTCTGAACTGTGGTGGGAGGGCAGCTCTGGAGCAAAGATCCCAAAGCCTTCCCCTTCCTTGACATTGAGGAGCCTTTAGGAACAATCTGTGTCCTTCCTCGAGCTCAGTTTTGTTTTGTGGTTTTGTTACAGTGGTCTTGCTGATGGGAAACTACTTGACTTGCTTTTAAAGGGGTAGCCTTCCTCTAACTAGCACTCTTCAGTTGTGTTGGACTGTAATGCATAAATGAAAAATTAATTGAAATAGTGGAATAGTGAACAGCCTGGAAGACAAAACTTTCTGCCATCTCTGTCACCCCCCACCAAAAATTATTTTTCCCTTTCTTCAGTGCCTGGGCAGTGTTGACAGTGTCGGGTGTTTTTCTCTTAGGATAGTAAAATGAACTCTTAACACCTGCCCTCTAGCTTCCAGTCCTCGCGTGTCCCTTTTTCTGACACTTTGCATCTCTTCCCTTTCCTGGTTTTTTAGTTACTTTCCCCCCCCTCTCTCTTTAATGGGAAGTGCTAGAGCACTAAACAACCACCCCTTCTTTTGAATGAAACAATCGCATCTTGCTTTGCAGTTCACACAAAATAGGGTGGAATAGTGTATGGCCTGGAAGACAAAAATAAAATTCAGAGAAATTTAACAGGGATAAGTGCAGAATTCTACACCTAGGAAAAAGAAGCCAGTTATAAACTGATGGACATTTGGCACAGCAACACTAGATTCAAAAAGGAATTGTTGTAGAATATGAGCCAGTGTTGTGATGTGGCTTTTAAAAAGGCAAATTCTATTTTCGGCTGCATTAACAGAAATGTAGTTTGCAGATCATGTGAAGTCCCATCTATTGGGCACTGGTTAGGCCTCTTACTTAGAGAACTGTGTCCAGTTCTGTACATCACACTTCAAGGAAGATGCCAACAAACTGGAGCAAGCTCAGAGGAGGGCAACAAGCATGATTGGGGGACTGGAAACCAAGCCCTCTGAGGAACGACTGATCTATCCGGGCTTGTTTGGCCTTAAGAAAAATACCTGAGGGTAGATATGATAGCACTCTTCAGATATTCAAAAGTTTGTCATACAGAGGAAGGATACAGTCTGACAATTACTGACAATGACTGCGCTTTTATACTTGCATTGTTTCAATAAGCCTAAGCAAATCTCCCACTCCTTTCTTCCAAATCTGCCATTTCTTTCACCAAATCATCTCTATTAGTTAGAATGAATGATAGCCACTCTCCAGTTTCTTCCTCCACTTTTTGTAGGAGAATGTTATCAGCAGTCAAGCTAGGCATTTCATCCTTGAAATAGATATTAGGATAATTGAAAACTCCCATTACTACAACATTGTCTTTTTAAACAGTTTCACAATTTGTTCTTTAAAGGTTTCATCTTCATCTCCTGCTTGATTGGACAGATGGTAGATTCTGTGATGTTCCTTTTGTTTTTTGTCTCAGTTATGTTAATCCAGATTCTTTTGATGGGACAATGAAGCTCATCTTTGTATGCTTTTAAAGGCATGGATGAAAATCTACGTTTCTGTGAATGATATGATATGAACAGCAGTAGCAGGAACATTTGCTTGGGCTTATCAGAAGAACAAAAGTATAATAGTATAGTAGTTGTCAGCGTTCCCTTCTTGGTTGTATACTTTAAAGTGGCGAAGCTGTTTGAGTGTCTCAGTGAAGCTGAGAGCAGTGTTGTTAGAAGGCCAGATTCCATTATGAGTCTGGATAGTAAGGTCACTATAGAAAAGAAATACATCATTTAATTGAAAGCAAGAGGGGAGAAGCTGTAGTCTCTGGACCAAACAAGACCAGGAACAGATGTAAGTCTTTGAAGACCAATAGACTGATTGGGGCATCTGCTTTCTTGCCCTAGAGTCTGTTTCATCCAGTAAACAGGAATACCTTAATGAGCAGATTATACAGTATATGTATATGCTCACAACTCTAAAGAACACATGCCATATCTCTAATAGAGTGGTCTCTAGTGGGGCACAGAAAGCACCTTTCAGCCCCAGGGATTGGCATGCACAGCCCCTGGACCTTTGGAAGTTGTCCACCCTTGTTACAAATCTTTTATAGCAACTCTCTAGTTTGTGTAAAAAATATAGTAAGTCTGCGAACCTGAAGTGTACCCACTCATGCTTCTGCCACAGATGTTTAATAAGTCACAATAAATGTTTGTTTGTCTCTAATGTTTTGGTCTTTCCGATGCCATATGGCTTTTGCTTGTCTTTCCTAGGGAGGTGCCGTTGGTTTTGTTTGGTGCTTTTTTTTTTTTACACCAATGTACAAAGAAAGTGCCCTGGTGCCTCCTTGAAATGGTAATCTTGCTACCCTTTAGATTCTGCAGAGGGCATTTCTGAAAGGACTATGAATCCGAGAAAGCACTGTGGCAGCTTCCTTTTTTGTACACTTACAACAGGAAGTCTAGGCCTAGACAGGCATGCAGTCTTAGAAAGAGATCATGGCTCAGGTGAGCAAAATGTACGTGTGGATCTGTGGGCTAGAACTCCCAGAATTCTGCTTTGGGAATTCTTGGAGAATCCTGGGAGGGAGAGAGAGAGAGAGAGAGAGACTCAATCAGTTGATGTGAAAGAGTTCTTGGAGGAAAAGCAACATGTTTGTTTTGCCTTGTAAAAGCGTAATGCATAAAATCTTTCTGCAGAGGTGCTAAACTTTAACATGAAACAAAGCTTATAATGTAGATCTTTGAAAACATGTGTACAGTACTGTGGGTACAGTGTCATTGGAAAGAACGGGTGACACTTGCTGGACCAAGGCTTGAAAAAATATTTAAAGTTTAGGTGTGATGCAGTTGGCGTTACTTGTCACTAGAGTGCAGTATCTGTTGTATTTTTTCATGAAATCTTTCAGTTCTTCACAAAACTATTTACTGTTAAGGTTGCTGGTCTGCTTATTATGACATGCAGTGGAGCTACTACTGTATCAGTATGCCAGATTGAGCATGAAACTCTCCTTCTGTATCCTGAACTCGTGGTGTTTTTTTTTAAAAAAGGAACCTTTTCATCATGAATAGCATCCTGTTAATGAAATGTCCATTTTAAGGAGGCCTGCTGGGTGCAAATTCTATCTCATTTTAAATCAGCTAAATATACTTTATCTCATAAGGCTTTGCATGCATAGAGGGATCACTCTGCTGATAGTGCTATATCCAAACTGCACTGGATTTCCATTCAGGCTGTTTGAGTTTCGTTATGGCTACGGAGTTTACAATTCAGATCAAGGGCTAAATTGTCCTCTGGTATATCAGCTGAGTCAGTGGACTGGCTAAGACAATAAAAACAAGCCTGGGTAGCTCCTTGCTTTTAACAGATAATACTGATTTACTGTCATATTTTTTGTAATCTTTGTTAGTGGGTTGGACTAAAATTCAATAGATCCAGCATCTAGTCCTCATTGAGATATGAAGCTCACATGTTGGGCCTAACCTAGCTCACAAAATATTTATGAAAATAGAGTGGGCAGAAGGATAACCTAGAGCAGGTAATTAATTAAATACAGTGCTGCCCTGAATTTTTGGGTTATTGCTGTGTTTCTTTGTGGTTTCATATTTTATTTTGTGGATTTGTATTTCATTCTTGGCTTAGTAGATGCTTTGTATATGCCGATGTGATCATTTTATTGAAGCTCTTACACGTTTTTTAAAATGACAATTAAAATATGTTATCATTGTCTTGGAAATGGGGGGGGGGAAGCGTAGCAGAGTCAATGTATTCTCGAAGACTTTCACAACCGGGATCTGATAGTTGTTGTAGGTTTTTCGGGCTGTCTGGCCGTGTTCTCTGAACACGGGGAGTCCCCTAAGAGGGAAGTATCCCCCTCTCTTCTCTTTATTCCTTGCAAGATTCCACCTGTCTAATCTGCTGTCATTCTCTCAAAGGGAGCAACATTACAGTGAAGAAGCTTTGTGAGCTGCAGCTAGGAGAAAAGTGCTGTGTGGTGGGGACGCTATTCAAGTCTATGCAGCTTCAACCTTCCATCCTCCGGGAAATCAGTGAAGAGGTAATAAAAGAATGTGATGGGGTTTTAAGGTCTGTATAGAGTAATGAATCAAAACGTTGTGGATAGAAATATCCAGAGATAGATAGAAAACAACAGATTGCATTTCTAAGTATCAAATCTCCTTAATAGAACATGCCAGGGACTAAACGCGAGACCTTTTTTATAGTGCTTATCAAAAATTTGAAGGGTATCAGATAGGTGAGGGCAAAGTCTTGAGGGTTAGGGTGCCAAAATGTTTAGCATTATATCTTCTTACTAATTTTTAAGAAATCTTTATGCCTCTCCACTTGTTCTTCACCATCATCCAACTCCCTTTTAATAAAAATTCTGTTCTTCGTTTGAAATTAAAAATAAACACAGAAACATAATGAAACATAATAAAATTGTTTTGAATTAAAATAAGACAACTTATTTTTCTGGAAAACTTAGAGCACTTTGAACACTATTTGCATCACTGCAAGAAGATTTTGTTTATTCTAAAAGCCAACGGCTGTTCTGAATTTCAGAGAACATTCTCTCCCTTCACATGCTACATGACTTTTTTGGCTAGAAATGTCAGGGCTTGCTCACACAGACCATGGACTCTGGCTATAACTGCCTTCCCCTTCCAACTTGCATAAATATCTCTCTTGGACTTCTGCTAGTTGTGCTACGCAACACTAGTTGTGCTACTCAACTGTACACCAGATGAATTATGTGTGCTTAGCATGGAGACAACATATTTTCTATGTGGCTTGTCACTGTCATTTTTGCTGAGCTCTTGTGCCTGCCATCTTTTTTTAGAAAAAAAACCCACATCTGGAAGTATCCATTCTGCTGGCAGTGTGACGTGACTCTGTCTTACTTAACTCTGGAAGGACAATTGTTGAGTAATAAGCTTAACTCACCCTGGTAACGAACTCCACTCAAACAGCACATCATGATTGCAAACACATGTGTTGGAGCCACACCACCAAGGATTGGCTGTGAGAAGTCACTGACCAGATGAGTAATATCATTTTTTGAGAAGTTTCTGTGAAATTTGCTTGCTGCAGTTGTGAATGCCAACAACCGTTATGAGGACATAACTTTTGAATTATTATTTGCATGTGACAGGTGATGGGTGCTTTGGAAGGTGAACACCACTTGCCAGACACTTGCCTTACTCTAATAAGGATTCTCTTTTTTTAGTGTAGTTTGTGGGTCTTGTCACACTGTAGCAATTCCACATGGAATCTTCCTTAAGGCATCAGAAAAACATTGCAGCCCACATAGGGTCCATGGTCACTAAGTACCTCAACATGCATCAATTCCTTACCAGTTGGGTTGGCTGATGATGAAGAATAGAGGATTTTTGCCCAAAAAGTCATTTTCTACAGCGAGTGCAGGAGTGTTCCCAGGGAAAGGAACCTGTTTCTCAATACAGGGCACTTCTGGCTAAATTCGTATTAGCAGGATGGGGGTTTTGCTGCCTGGATGTGTGTTGTTCTTATCTTGATGTTTGTAAACAGCAGCAAAGACGACTAGTGCATGTTTTGTGTGGGGCAAGAGATTCTTGATAATTGATACATTCAATGAAACTTCACTAAAGTAGGATATCTACAGGGATTGCTAAAGTCCTGAGTCCTTGAGTCTTAAAGCCTTTTGTTGCCTGAAGATGGCAATGAAATGCTGATATGGCAAGCTCTTTTTGGAATTTTGGTTAACTGGAAAGTCAGCTTTTCCCCCCAGCCATTTCCTTACCTTTTCCATATCCCAGTACAAATGAGAGTTAGGCAGGAGGGATGTATATTGTTGGACTTATACTAAAATAGATAATATATAAAATGTAACTAGCAGAGCCTGAGCATTGCAGTTTCGAGTGTATTGATAAAACATCCTGCTAAAGAGACAGGCAAGCAACATTGGCATTGCCACGTGAATAAAAGAGGAGTCCTCGGGTTGATGGGGATTCAGTGCAGCCTTCTGCAAGTGCAACCTAGGATGTAACTATAGCATCGCTGGCAGAGGCTGAAATTTGTGTTTAACCCTTCTGGCCAGGACACATCTATATTTTTAATACCATGCATCAAGTGAGCCATGCGGTACTTTCTGACTCCAGTAACATTTTCAGTATATTGAGGGCTTATGCTTAGGTTTGGGTTATTGCTTGCACTAGGGTTTCATGGACCGACTTCAGTGACAATTCAAATGCTGTCCCTCAAATGCCAGCTGAGACCAACTTGCTTACAACCAAAATGAGTCCGCTTTAGCTTCTCTCCATCATGATTTGCCAGAAAATACATGAGACACCTTTTTGTCTCAATATATTACATTTGCTGGGATAAATGAAGTGCAGTCTGTGGCAAAAGGCATTGTTCTGTTTTGTTATTCTTTGTCCTGGCTATTACTGTTAAAAAAGCCCCAAACCATTGGCAACATGGTGCGTGAGAGTTCAGTATAGGCTGTGACTAATTAAAACAAGAGAGAGGTACAGCCAGGAGGATGAGAGCCCAAGATGCAAAACAGTTTCTGAGTGTGTGCATGTAAGTAACTGTAACTATTACTTTTTGGAAAACAGCCGCATGAGGTGTGTTTTAAAAGGAATTAAAGAAGCATGGTCTGCAGCATAGAGAGGATCATCTGGCTCCCCAGGGCCTGCTCAGTTTCAGGGAAGTTAGCGTCAGTCCTGATTTAGTAAAGAAAGGAGGCTATAATAGGCATGAGGCAAAGGAAGACACGGCCTCCCCGAAAGCGCATTGCATGTGGCACAATTATGAGTCCTTGGATCTGCCTTTCCAATTAAGTCTGTTTCTCAACCCAGCTATTAATAAACTTAGCCTTGTAACCACAATGACTCATGGAAGCTTTTGTAAAAATCAGCTTCAAAAGCATTTTTGGGTTTTGCTATAGGGTTTATTGTATCTCTCTCATTTTCCTCCTCTGTCGTTCTGTGTCTGTATTTTGCAGTATCATCTTTTAAAAATGTAGATGTATACAATTAATGGCACATGGTGTTATAGGCTCTAGTCCAGCAGGAACTGCAATGACTAAAATTGGTACTTATATGATTAGAGGTTATTTTAAGTCTTCTGACCTTGTACCAAATCTTTCTTTGCACCAAGGGAGAGCTACAAAATCTGGAGATAAATAATTTAAAATACTTCTAACCTGTTTTTCCAATGCTTAAAAAAATCAGAAAGAATAAGGAATACATAAAGTGACAGCAAAATGACTAGAAATCATAACTGTCAGTGACCATTCGTCACCAGTCACAAGTATTTTTAACAGAACCCACCATCTAAAGTTTTCCAAACAGAGTTGTAGCAGCTCCTGTGGGAGGCAGAAAAGAAAGCAAATTTCCTTTGGGAAAACTGTTCCAGAGCAAGAATGGAGACCTCATTTCAGCCTGAGAGCAGAATTCATTTTCGACAGAGTTGTATGTGTGTGGCCTGAAAGATCTATGGATAAGTGTTAATCGTGAAACGCTTTAATAAAAAGCATCCTGAATAATGTTGTGGTGGCTGCAAAGCTGTTTCTACTAGAGCCTAGCATCAGAGCTGCATTGTCACAGCTGTTTCCTTAACATCCAGCGGTTGCTTGCCTTTACAGCACAATCTGCCACCACAGCCTCCTCGTACCAAGTACATCCACCAGTCCGATGAACTGATCTTGGAGGATGAGCTGCAGCGAATCAGACTGGAAGGAGCTATACAGATTGACAAGCTGGTGACAGGTAGGACGGTTTGGAGAGTCCCGGATCAAGGCATAGTATTCAGACAAATGGACCCAATATCTGATGTGGAACTTAGGTCTATTTCCCTATGTGGTCTGTCTTTCTCTGGAATTTTCATGCTCCAAATATTTATATTTTTAGATATGTGTTGCAAATGCTTTCCTTGTGTAGTCCATTTTGTGTATCGTATATGTTTATATTTTGTTGTATAGCACCATGAAATCCTCACATCTAATCATTTGGTAATTATTAATAAAGAAAAGAAACTTGCACAACTGTTGTACAGAAGAGGATAGAAGTCAACACAAACCACACTTCCTTCTCTTCTGTCTTCAAAAAATTACTTACGGGATCTTGTTCTAAAGTAAGGCCATTGCAGTTTGTGCATTGTGGGTGAGGGGAATGGGCAGGACAGAGCTGTCTGCTGATTCTCAACTGTGACTGCCCTCCGTATTACAAAAAGGATCCCTCCTGCTTTGGAAATGTAAGTTAAGTCTGGTTCGAACCTGGGAAGGGGAGGATGGAATTGATCAGCTTGAAAAGACTTAAGCAACTGCCCCCCTTGGTGCCTGCCTCAGCATTGATTTATCTCAACAAATATTCAGTGAATTGAGGCAAAACCTTGTCCTCCTGAATATCAGAAGAGGACAAAACATAACCTTATGTGATTTCCCACACATCATGAATATTAAATGTCTAGGTTTTCATGCTGAAACAGTTGGCAGTGAACTGCTGTACCTTCTTGTCAATCCAGGAACCATCTTGGCAGTCTATGGCTCAGAGAGGGATGATGGCAAGTTTCTTGTTGAAGATCACTGCTTTGCAGATATGCCCACCCAGCTGCCCATGATGGGGCCCGGCACAGACAGGTGAGCTTGTCATAAAAACAGAAGAGACCTTTTGGATCAGACCAAGAGTGGAACTTGGGATGGTGCTTTTAACAAGAATCAGTGTAATTGTATGCTGAAGCGATCCACAGTGGAGCAGGGGAAGGCTTATGCTCTGGGTTGGTGGGCCCTTCCAAACTTACTTGTTGACTATAGCAGCAGCACACCAGAGAGCTTTCATTTCTCTAAGCTCCCCAGAACAGGATTAGGCCAGATCCCTCATGGGAAAGGTGAAATTTTACCCCAAGCCCAGGACTGTTTTTTCCTGATCCCAGGAGAGATTTTTCTTTTTTCCTTTATCAGAGAAGGGTCCACAGCAGGCATCAGCAGTGGGTCAACTTGAGGACCTGGACGTAAATGCTAGCATTGACGAGGACATTTTGAGGATGAGCAGAAAAATAATAACACTGACATTATTCAGCTGGCCATCTCACGTTGCAGATGGAATAACTGAAGCTGGTGTTTCTCAAGCTGGTAAATACTATATGTTTTGGCTTACTGATCCCATAATGGGAGATGAAGTCTAAAAGGGCCTCAGGTTAAGGAAGGTTGAACTTGGGTAAAGCTGGTAAACGGGTTCAATTCTTTTTTCATTCGTGCAGAGTTGGGGAGGCAGTCTGGACTGGAAGACTCTGGCGCTTGAGCATTTTTACAGAGGATCAGCTATGCAACGGCATAAGGTTTAAGACATAACAATCTGCCATTTTTAGGAAGGTTTTTGTGCTGTACATTACTGTTTTCCATTACAGTAGGTAATTTGGCATCCGCGGGAATTGGTTCCAAGGCCACCCCGGGATGCCAAAAATGCAGAAATATCAAATGCTATACATTGCATGGTCTCTGGCTCCATCTAATAGCCAGGTCTGGTACATACACCCTGGAAATACGTCTAAATACATATTTCTGGGGTTTTTCCGTTAGGATTTTCAGGCAGTGAATCAGAGGATACAGATCCCACGGATGGGGGAGGGTCCTATTCTTTAAAATTGCTGGTTGAATTTTTAATCTGATTCTGTTGCTTTTCTACTTTGTTTCTGTTGTACTAAAGTATATGGTTGGATTGATTAATACCATGCAATATTTTTCTGCTTTTTAAGGGTTTTGAAGAGAGACCATGTTTTGTCTGAGATATAGAATATATAAATTTATATAATCAAAACAATCACATCCTATTCCAGAAATCTACATAGGGGGGTTTATTTTTGCAGGACAGATGTATTTTTATGACTTAGGTTTTTCTTAAGTCTGTTTGGCTATTGCTACCCTATTGGTAGGCTTGCTACCAAGTTATTTGTCAGGCTAGTGTAAAGTGACCTTTATGCCCACCTTCTAAGCCCCCCACTCATGAGAAAGGTAAGGAACTTTTGGGGACATAAATGTTGTAGACCACAGCTCCTGTCCTCCCTGACCCTTAGTTGTACTGGCTAAGACTGGTAATGGTTTTTCTCCCACAAAGTCCGAACAGCCAGAGATTTCCTGCCCAGGTATATAAAGACATCCCAGCAAAGTATTTCAGTGATCTCTAAGCATGACTGAAATTGTATGGAGACTTTATTCACATTTTTTGTTATCTTCACACTCCTTCCTCCCTATATTATGACTGCAGAAACCAAACACTTGCCAATTTATTATAGTTTTTAAAATTAGTAATGCATGTGAATAAAAGAAAACAATAACAATTCAAAGGGACCTTATACTGAAAACTGGACACAGTTGTTGATGAGAATTAACAAATCTGCAGAATCTGGTCTTTCGTAAAAGACTTTTGTTGATTTGAAATGCCATACTGAAGATACATGAAATAAATACGATTCATTTCTATGTAAAAATCCATGCTTGCTCATCAGATACTCATACATGTTCAGTCAATTTAACTGGGCTACTGAAAACATATAAGGATGATTACTTTTCCTGTTTATGGTTTTTGTTAAAGTGTGAAAACCAGTCCTTTAGAGATGACTCGTTGTGTTGGCTTCTCTGATTGAAAGGCCTGGCAAACAAGGCACCCTCTGCATGATGCCATGGCTTCTATCTTATCCTGCAGGTTTGTCTTGCTGGTGTCAGGTCTGGGCCTTGGTGGCAAGAGTGGAGAGAGTCTCCTGGGGATGCAGCTGCTTGTGGACATGGTGACCGGACAGCTGGGCGCCGAGGCTGAGCAGTCGAGTGCAGCCCTCATCTCTCGGGTCATCTTGGCAGGCAATTTGCTCAGCCAGAATACCCAGAGCAGAGACACCGTTAATAAGGTAGATACATTCTGTCAGTAGAACCATTCATTTTGGATTTTTAACCTACCTGTCTTCTACCATATACATAGTATATTATACAGTACTGGAGTGTGTGATCAGTTACTGAAGCAGATTGTATCCACAGATATTAGGAGCTAGTTGCTGTTTAACGGTTGTGAAAAACTATTAAATTTCTGAACGTTAGCATTCCCAGCCCATTGTGTCAAATACTTTCCTTTTGGCTTTGCTTGGAGGCAAAGATATAACAGAAATTCAAATATTCTCTTTCCTGACATCTTGCTGTTTTTCAGACTTCAGGTAGCGGGATTTCTGTCTAAGATTCATCACAGTAAACAATGTGCAGTGTTAGGTACGCAAATAACTTAATCTGGTATAAAGCAGCAAATGTCTTGAGTATGTCCATGTTCCCTTAGTGTCACAACACCTGGATTATAGGGTTTGCACAGTGCTGGTCCTTGAGGGACCCTTTAGTTCAGCTGTTTCAGAAACGAGGCCTGCTGTATTGTAGTCATGCAGCTTGTGTTAAAAAAATAACGAAACCTCGAAGGAAAATGGTTCTGTAATTTCCTACAGAAAATTGTTTTCGGCTTTCTAACAGTTATGTCAGAATCAAAGCACAGACCTCGCTAGTCATCTGTTCAACCTGCCTCGTGGATTATTGTGGTTAACAGCAGTGCAAAAATTATTTGATCTGCCTGCTGTTAGTGGGATAATTTTGAGCTGCCTTCCTCAACCCAGTGGGAACTACTTACCTTTCTACTTTGAATGTACATAGGCTTCTTTCCTATTGAACCTGAAATAACCATGAACCTTCTTGAAGGTCTTCCTCTTTTTTTTTAATTGTTAGTAGATGTGGCAGTTTTTTTAGTATTGGCAGGGTTACCTTTCCTTCATAAATTATGTACGAGTTTCAACTACATTTAGAAGATTTTGATTGCATCAGTTAAATACTGTATTTCATTCATTCTCTTACTTTCTTCTTTGATTTTTTGCATACTTTTCTTCAGGCGAAGTACCTTACCAAGAAAACGCAGGCTGCCAGTGTGGAGGCTGTGAAGATGCTGGATGAAATCTTGTTGCAGCTGAGTGTGAGTGCAGTGCTCAGGAGGAGATGATGGTGGGGGCTGGGGGTGTAGTCTCTTTTTATGGCTGGGGTTGAGCATCCTTGCAGAACCTGGGGGCATACTTTGAGTCCTACTCTCTGGAGCTGGTGAAAACAAACTTGTTCCATCTTCCACATGACACTATTCTACAACTATTTTTTTAAAGGAGTTAAGATTACTCTGGCATGACTTAATTTTTGAAAAACTGTGTTGAGTCTTTCTTCTAGGTGCATGCAGAGTGACTGCTTTACTTATCCGTTCCAACACCCTTCCTGGTATTTATGTGACCAGCTCCTCTCCACCTCACTTTTTCAAAATGAGGACAACATTTCTTTGCCTCCAGTCTTCAGGGACCGTATCTGTTCTCCAAGAATTTGCAAAGATTATAGACAGAGGGTCTGAGATCACAAGTTTCTTTAGTTTCCTTTCATTCAATTCCATCTAGTCCTGGACACTTCATTTAAAGTCATTAGGTGGTTCTGCACCATCCTATTGTTTGGTCTGTCCTAGACAGCAGCCCCCTCCCCCTTTTTATTCATTAGCACCCAGCTGGGGACTTCTTTCTTTTTGGGGAGAGGACTGGGGGGGGGCAGTAGTTGTTCAACAGTACTGCCTTCTCTCCCTATCACCCATTAGTAATTCTCAGTACTGCTGACCTACTGTCTCTGTGTCCTTCCTCTTCTAGCAGAGGCGAAAAACCCTTTTTTGTTACTTTTAACCTCTCTTGCTACTCTGAGCTCATTTTCTGATTTAGCCTTTCTCACCTTCTCTCTACAAAGCATTGACTATTCATATATACTCTTCCTCAATTATTTGCCCCTCATTCTGTTTTATATACATTGCCCTTTTAAAATCTAGTTCATTTGAAATATTGTGCTGCCACAATGTTGCACAATGATTTCTTCTTCCTTCCTTTCTCTTAGGAGTTAATGATGCAGCATCTCACCCTTAAGTGCTGTGGACTCCCTTCTATTTGAGTATTTTTGACCATGAAATCTCAACTAGTATTTCTGAAAGCTTGTTGAAATTAACTTTCCTAAAGCCCAGAGTGCATGTTACACTACTCTCCGTTTTCCCCTTTCTCAGAGTAAATCCCAGACAGAGAGCATGGCCACTTCCATCATTATTTCCACCTTACCAATCAGTTCTTCCCTGTTATAGTTAGTATCTGATCTAGGACAGCTGATCCCTTTTCTGTGTCTTCCATGTTCTGGAAAATGAATTTGTCAGCAAGTGAGGAATTTGGTGCACTTTTGAGTCTGGGCCAAGTTAGACTTACAACAGGTATTAGGATAGTTGAAATCTCCTACTATAACCATGCCTCTTTTCTTTGGATGCTTGGTAATCTGATCGAGGAGGGCATCTTCAAGATCCACCACAAATGAAGAACTGTGTGCCCATACCCGGTGTGTTAGGCAAGTAGAGCAGAGCTCCTCTCGGCAGACCTCAACAGGTGGGGCAGAGATGGAAGCACCTCCTAATATCTGGGGAAGGGGGGAACTATACAAGTAATGATCAGCACTCTTCAGATGGTCTGAGAAACACACTGGGGCTCAATACAGAGTATCCCATGTGCTCCAGATAATGGGTCCCTATCAACCATATACCAGTGTTCTGTGTCATGATCATGAATATGTGGTTTAAAGCATGTAATGTGGATGGTTTATGTAGTCATGAGAAAATGTAAAATGGATTCAGAATACTTCTGTGTTTTGAACGGTGGGAAGATTTTCAGAAGAGATGGTGAGAAAAGTTTCTTGTGCCCAGCACAGCAAGGACCAGAGAGGGAGTGAAGTCAAAACATTCCATCCTAATTGGGACCAAGATTTAGAGGAAGCAAACAGCACCTGGACACACTTGGATTCCCTTGGGAATGGAGGGCGGAACAAGAACAGACAGCCCTAAATCACCATTGGTCAACTCCTTGAGACGCTTAGCGAGTAGAAAAAGGGACGTTTTGCTATGTGGAAGGTTCCTTAGTCTTTAGAAAGGCTTGGGATCCATTTTTCTTTGCCTTTTCTCTTATCTTAGAGTAAGAGCTTAGGTATGTGATGAGCGAGAGAAAGAAAGAGGGGGGCTTTATGCCTTTTGCCTGCCCTAAGGAAAAGCCTTGCTTTTAGAAGTTAGTTATTTTAACTTAGATGAAACTTGTTATTCATTTAACTGCAATATTCGATGGAAATGTAATCTATTCTTAGCTTAGGCAGCAAACTGAATCTATAAAGACTTTATTTTTCAATAAAAAATTAATTCTTAAAACTCCTTAAGAATGGTCTTTTGAAAAGCAAGTCTGCTGAGCCTGCTTCCAAAGCGGGATTGCACGGTCACGAGACTGCTAGTTAAGTGTAACTGAGTGCAGGAGTGAATCTTTCAGGCTAGACTTGTGAGAAAGGGTCTGTGATGCGCCCTGGCTGAGGTGAATAGCACTCCATCCAGCTGATAAAGGGTACTCAGACGGCTGGACGCTCTCTGGACAATGAACGGCGCTCCCTAGAGGGAGACTGGTTTGCGACATTCTCAATTAGCTCTCACCTCCAAACTGTCTCTAAAGGCAACTCTGTGTGAAACCTATTGCAGTCACCTAGACTCTATGATCCAGGTGTGGAGTCTTTCTTTGCCAAATGAGATGTGCTACTGGCATTTATTGTGGCGGCGGCGGCTGCCTGCCAGGGGGACCCCCTTGGCTGACTGTCTGCTTTTGCCCTTTCAGATATCTGTCCCTGTAGATGTGATGCCTGGTGAGTTTGATCCCACCAACTACATACTACCTCAGCAGCCACTGCATCGCTGTATGTTTCCCCTGTCGAGTGCCTACTCCACACTGCAGTTGGTCACCAATCCTTACCAAGCCAACATCGATGGTGTCAGGTAAAGGCTGTAGTCCTGGCTCCTTGGCGCCTTTAAACGTTTGTGTAGTACTGTCTGCTGTTCCAGGTGTTTTGCATGCATTGAGAAGTTGTCATCTTTACAGCATTCCTGTAAACCTTGAAGGGCAAGGTAAGTCAGCCTTATTTTCTTCCATATTGCAAGTTGGTTACTGTTCCACAACAGCAGGCATAGATATGAACTCTGGGGCTGCTTTACAGGGAGTATTTTAACCTCCCAAGTTAGAGCAGCACCACTGGCTGCCAACCCATTTCTGGGCACAATTCAGAAATACTGGTTTTAACCTCTAAATCCCTAAACGGCTTGGGAACAAGCTATCTTAGGGTCTGTCCCCACAGCCAGAATAAACTGGCAGACCAAGTGTATTTTTTGGATCCGTGCTTAAGTCACGTGGACTTCAGCTGGAATCTGAAACTTGTGTGCGGCTGCTACTGCCAACACTCACACTGCCGCTGCCCTCCTCTCCTGTCAGGTAGGTCCAGTGGAGGCTGGGGGGGGGAGGGACGAAAGGGGAAAGGGTTCCCCTCCCAACAAACCCAGTACTTATGCACACAGACAAATGCACAGAGGAGAGAGACAGATTCAGAGTTACACCAAGGGAGGCATGAGGGAGGTTTCTCTTCCTGCCCGCCCCCAGATGCAGGAAACACAAACCTTCCAGCTGGAGAGCAAGATGGTGAAGGAGAAGGAGTCGCCCTTCCCTTTGGGCTCCAATTCCTAGGAAAACATTCCCCAAAGATCCCCATGATTTTTATATGCAGGATCACCCCAAACCAAAGAAGCATGGATCTCAATGAATTCCCATGATTTATATATAAAGGATCAATTCCTCGTCACAAAACCATGGGTCCCAGCCATGCCTTAGATTGGTAGTCTGTGGGCACAGATGAAATCTATGATTTGATGGTGGTTTGGTGAGGATCCCATATAAAAATCTCATGAAATCATGAAAGTGGTGGAAATGGAAAGAGGAGGAAGTGCAAGGGGTGAGGGTGATGGCAGGTGATCGAGTGGAATAGAAAACAGGAAAAACTTGGGGGGATGAGGAGAAGAGGCTGGTTGAGGGACACGACAGGAGTTGCAGTGGAAAGTTACATTTTTGGCTTTCTGTTTAAAGTGAACATGGCAAACTTTACTTGCAAAAGAAGATTGCTGTATATTGTAGTGGAGGACACTGCCTTGCTTTGGTGGTGAAACTTGTAGCTCATTACATGGGAAAACATTGGGTTGGGGGAAGCTGCATTAGAGTTACTTTGGGAGCACCTATGTTCAGTTTTTCTCTGTTCTTATTGGGTGGCCTCGGGCCAATTTTTGCTTTTCAGTTTAACCCACCTGATGTGGTTGTTCTGTGGGCAAAGGTGGTAGGGAGAGATTGGGGAACTGAACCTGTCTTCCTGAATATCTTGGGAGTGCAGTATAAACGTAATAAAGAACAGAGCATTCTATGCTACCGTTCAGTCTTGCCATTCAAGTGCAAACTATTTCATTTCCTTCCTCATTTTAGGTTTTTGGGGACCTCAGGCCAAAACATCAGTGACATCTTCAAGTACAGCAGCATGTCAGACTATCTGGAAATCCTGGAGTGGACTTTACGGATTGGTCATCTTAGCCCCACTGCTCCAGATACACTTGGTAATTTCACCGAGAATCAATTTGTCTGTGTGTGCACGCAGACATATTTTGGGGCTTTCCGGCCATTGCTTCCTTGCAGAACGGTAGTGAATTGATAGGACTGTTACATAGGACTTGCTTAACTCTGTGGGAGTTACTTAATATTGGTCACTGGCCACCTTTTGGTGGGAAGGTGCACACAACAATAGTTTCTTTTGTCTTTATTTCCTACCCATATAAATGCTCAGAGAATTGTGATTGTGTAGATGCAAACACTTTGTGTTGGTTGCTTTACAAGGTTGATTTCATGACATTTCTGTCCTGCTTGTCTTTCATGATGGTGCTCAAAGCAAAGCAGTGTTCCCTGGGGTACTCAGGCCATGTCCCATTCAAGTCCTGACATGATGTAGCTTCACTAGGGTGGCGCTGCTCTCTTCCAAGGTCATGCCATGCGATCTTCTTGTAATCCACACACTAGCTCTGTAATATAGGTCAATATTTCTTTTATTGCAGAAGAACACTGAACTGACCCTTTGAATCAGTGGGATTTATGCAGGTGTTGTCTAGCCAATTCAGCCAGTGATTCAATGGGTCTACTCCAATTGGAACTAACAACTGGAATTAAGACTTAATCTCCCTATGGACACTTGGACGTTGCCCCTAGCTGGACAACCATAGAAAATCTCCGTATTGGTTCTTGGCTAAACATGGTGTGGCAGACTGCTTTAGTAGGATGTTAGTTAGCTCATAGGTTGTGGGTTATAAAAGGGTTAAGCAAAACAGTGCATTCTTTAGAGTTTGGCTTTCCTTTATTTTATTTACGAACATGTTTTTATATCTCCTGGCCCACCAGTATGAGAGACAACCCTTTAGAAGACTTTCTTTCAGAGTGATGAAGTAATGAGAAAGGTAGCTCCACACCATATCAGAGACATTTTTAGTATTACCAGTTTTTGCAGTTGCTGTGTATGAACACACTAGGGTTTGCTACTGCTGCTTGACCATTCCGTCTGTCATACCTTCTTTTTCCTTGTTATCAGGACTGAGCTGTAGAGTAAGTCAAGAACAGGTGCAGTCTCCATTTTTCTTCACCATTAGTTATGCTGGATAGGGCTGATGGGGATTGCGGTCCAACCGTTTACATTCCCACCCCGACTTACCTCGTGATTTTATGGCAAAGGCAGGACATGAATTGGAGATGTCTGGATTTGTAGTTCAGTCTTCCTCACTCTGCTGCACCAGGTCTGGCAGTCTGTCATCCCAGTCAGAGAGGGAACCAAGAGTCTGAGCATTTCTGCAGTTGTGCATCATACTTTCCATTCCTGACAGGGTCATCTTGCCAGCAAACCAGATTTCAGTTGTATTCTCTTAACTCAAACCTGACTGTTCCAGTGCAACTTTTAAGATGAGCTTCTGAGAAATTGCAAAGAAATGAGATGCGATCTTGATAACTTCACCGTCTTTTATCCCTTCCCCTGTGTTCCTCTTTCTTTTATTTATTCTCTTCCCCTCCCCCATGATCCCAGAGTAAAGATAGGTTTATTCTATCACTTTGCCTGTTGGCATGCAGTTCATTTAAAGGCATCTCTTTTGTTTTCCAGGCTGCTACCCATTTTACAAGTCTGACCCCTTCATCTTCACTGACTGCCCTCATGTCTATTTCTGTGGGAATGCACCTTCCTTCAAATGCAAGGTAGTCAAAGGTAAATCAGAAAATGGCTGGGATATACGTTCATTGGCTTTTGGTGGGGAGTTTCCTTTGAATTCATCCAGCTTCTTCAGAAGCAAAGGACCTGTTTTGAATGGGCTGAGTGAGATCTCTCAAGGTGGTGTTGAGGGGAGATACCAGGGCAGCATGGAAGACAATAAACATCATTTGAGTTTCTGATTACCTTCCGCAGCGCCATGAGCATGCAGAGATATAAATTCGGGAGTTGCATCCTTCATCTGCAAGGCAGTCTAAATCAGGGGTCTCAAACATGCGGCCCGGGGGCCATTTGCGGCCCCCCAGATGATATTTTGTGGCCCTTTACGTTCATTGGCTTTTGGTGGGGAGTTTCCTTTGAATTCATCCAGCTTCTTCAGAAGCAAAGGACCTGTTTTGAATGGGCTGAGTGAGATCTCTCAAGGTGGTGTTGAGGGGAGATACCAGGGCAGCATGGAAGACAATAAACATCATTTGAGTTTCTGATTACCTTCCGCAGCGCCATGAGCATGCAGAGATATAAATTCGGGAGTTGAAAGGAAATAAGAGCATCCTTCATCTGCAAGGGACTCTAAATGGATCCCTCTCTTAAACTGAGTTCAGTAAAAAGCCATGCTTGGCAAAAGGAGGAAATAGCATTTACCCAGGGTCCGGCCTTGGCATTCCCAAAATACCCCCCAGGTAAATTGAGTTTGAAACCCCTACTCTAAATGGATTCCTCTCTTAAAGCTTTTCAAGAATTGTGATTGTGTAGATGCAAACACGAAATAGCATTTACCCAGGGTCCGGCCTTGGCATTCCCAAAATACCATCTACCCAAGCTTAGGAATGGGAAATATTTTTCTTTTTTTGGATTTGTGCTCCCAAAATACCTCAGCATGCTCCTGCTGGTTGGAGTATTTGCAGAATTGTAGTCTAGAAAAGGGATCATTTCCCAACTCTTATTGTGCCAATCCTAAAAGTCACTGTGGGCAACAGCTTTTTTTCATTTTCGTTTTTGCAGAAAGAGTCTTTTCTAGAAGTTGGTGCTGTGCAAAAAGAAAGTGCCAACTCATGAATATTCTTAGTATTGCTTTCAAGGCCCAGTCTTGGCCTGCATCCCTTGCTGGCTAGGGGCCTCTTCCCAGCTGGTCCCTACATTGTATGTTTTATAATCTTTATTTTTGCAATGCTTCGCAAACTTTCTGGCAAAACATTCATCCTTGGGTAGCCAGAACTAAAGAAGTTTGTTTGGAGATTAACAGTAACTATCTGAAATACTCTGTGGAGTGGGTGGCTTGACCAGATTGCTTCCCAGTGGTGTAATGGTGCTGTTGCAGTGTTAAGCCCTGGCAAAAGATTCTGTTCATATCCACTCTATACATCGCCTCCAGTCCAGCAATTTTACGTTTAGCACCTAACTTAAACGCTCCGAGTATTAGCAAGAGGATTGAAATGAGCATTGGTGGGCACCCAGACTAAGGACTAAACATTCTGCCTGGGTTTCAGCACTTTGGCTGGCGTGCTCAACTGCTGGCGCTCTTGGCCTGCTGTCCATCAGGCCAGCCTGAGCAGAAGGGCCCAAACTACCGTTGTGCATTTTTCTGCTCAAGAATCTTATCTTCTTTTTTTTCAGTGCCTGCACCAATAGCAAATTCTCAATCCACTTTCCATGGCCAGTAAATCTTTGTGTGAGATTGTGTAAGACTGTGTTAGCACATTGCCTTCTTCCAGATCAGATTATTTCTCCATCTCCCCCCCCCCCGNCCCCCCCCCCCCCCGCCATCGTCAACTCCAGCTGGCGGCAGCTTTCTGAATCTTGGATTGGGAAAAGGTCTTGTCACGTGCCAGTTTTAAATTAAAAACCGGAGGACTGAACCTCTACCTGAAAAGCAGTTTTGCAGCTGTGGCCCTTCTCCATGAGCAGCAGAGTCCTCTGATTCTGTTTGTTTCTTTTGCAGGTGATGATGGCCAGAAAGTCTTGTTGGTGACCCTTCCTGATTTCAGCACAACACAAACAGCTTGCCTGATCAACCTTCGTGACCTCACGTGCCAGCCAGTCGCCTTCTGCGCCTTCGGTGCCAGTGAGGAGGAGGAAGAGATGCTGATGGAAACTGCCCAGTGAGAAGCACCCTCTCTTACTGCCTTGGAAGTGTATATTGTAAAGGAGAGGGAGTGCTCGGAGCCATGCCTTCCCCATCCCCCCCCCCGACTATGGTGTTTTTCTCTCTCTGAGCCAAAAGTTTTAATAAAGTATACTGCCTATTTCTCTTTTCCTCTTTGTGCTCAATGGAACCCTCACATAGTTTTAATGCATATGACTAAAAAAAGAAAGAATTGCAGTAACATTTTTTAAACATGTGACTCATTTTATTCAAATAACAGGTACACTTGGAAAGCCAAACGGGCTCAAAGCTGCACTTTAACCATCCTCCGGAGCCCCTGCAGGGCTCATCCTGGCAAAGTTTCGTTTTCCCTCTCTTGTCTCCTGCAAGAGGCAGTTTCCTGGTGGCAGAACCACTGCAGTAGGTCGAAAAACTAGCTGTAATAGTGCAGACAAGAATAAAGTGTTCCCTTAATGAAAATGTTGTGGTCTTCATGGAATACCGGACATCACTGTGAAAGCTATTAGACTTCTACTCCCCATGACTAGGAAGACTGGAAAAAATATGACGTTAACTTGTGAGAAACATTTTTGACACTTGAGCTTGGCTGCCACCTCATAGATAGATGCTATAGGCTCCTCTCCTGCGTTCTTTCCACCAAATTTGGTTTTTTTGGTCCATGGACCTTGATTGATACACCTCAGTGGAAGCTTTGCATAATGTTCCTGCTCCCTACAAAAGTGACACAAAAATCTCCAAATTCTGCATAAACTTTTAAAAAGTAAACACAGAAAGGCTGTATGTACTTCAGTAGTATTGTGTGTTTAATATACTGTTTGTTTAAAAGGACCAAATATATGTAACCATAAATTGGATTGTGGTTTAGGGTATAAATCTGCACAATTCCTTGATTATGCCAGTGAATTTTAAGAGAATTCTAGATCCTTGGATATTGGCCACCTTTGCGTCTTCTGTTCTCAAAATCCTGTGCAGTACAGTAAAGACTCTGATAATGGCCGTGAAACAGGGTGGAGGAAAAAACAACATCACAGAGCTGCATGCAGTTAGTCATGGCGGGGGGAGGACTATGTTCTTGGCATATTTCCTGTTCCCGAACCAAGCTCAGCCTGCTCACCTCAGCTTCCCATTTGGCTGGTGTATGATTGGAGCAATAAACCTGGATAAAAGAAAAATATGAGCTATTATATTTGAGATGTATGTGGGGGAACAAGGTGGGGTAATAGCTATAGTTCTTGAAGGTGAGCAGTGAATTCTGTGGCCATGAGTTCTAAAAACAGGTAACCGTGCCTCCTACTGTACTATGATTAATGAATATGGCCACACGTCCTGGATGGAGAAAGCAGGACAAGCTTTGGGGGAATGTCTCGCAAGTATTGCTGGCCCACAGTCATGGCAAACGGGATGGCTGTTCCTAATCGCCAAAGTTCACTGTGTACGTCTCTGCTGTGGTCATGGGGAAAGCAGTGGCTGTTATCTCCTCCCCAGTCTTGGCCTCTGTGACTGCGTCGGTGATTGTCTCCCATCCAGTCACCGTTTCTGCCTCGATCTCCGTCTGCCAGGTGCTGGCTGGTTCTGCGGTTGGCGGCTCTTGACTCCACGGCCGGAGTGTGGTGCTGCTGAACAAAAACGGAAGCGGCGTGGTCGAGGGAGGAGTGGTGGCTGCCCTCGTGGTGGTTTGCCGCAACTGCTTGTTCATCTCCTGGCGCCGGCGAGCTCTCTGGCGCATCCACATGTTCCAGCGCCTCAGCTCCCTCGGGTTCAAGGGCCGCCCATTCAAGGGCCTGCCGAGAGGCCTGCGGCCATTCATGGCCATAATCTCTCGGATGCGCTTCCAGTTGGACCGCGACAGAACGAAGTTGCACTGGGTAGCGCCAATGTCATAGAAGACACTGCATGTTTTGACGCTGGGATTGTAGCCCTCGGCTTTGGCTATGACTCTGTATTCCCCAGGGTTCAGGATACGCCAGTAGTCCCCGCCGCTTGCTGAAACGGAAGAGGGAAGACAACACTGGATGATAAGACAGAGAAAGGGTTGCATCTTTTTTGCATAAGGAACCAAGTTCACTTCCTGGCAGGCTTCATTCGAAACCGTGGTGGGAAACCACTGCAGAGCAGAGACTACTGTACATTCCTGTGGTAGGTGAAGCCAAGGGAATGGGCAAGGTCAGAACCAATAAAAATCTTATCAATTTGCCGGCGTGTAGTAGCTTTCCTTGCCAATCTAGAAAACCTTTCTTGCTTGCCAAGGAATGCCCATGCCGTGTAAATAAAACCTTCCTAGGCTTTGAACGCCGCCTCATCTCCGATCAGAGGCAACGGCAGCAGAAGCTCCACAGGCAGACTTAATATGATCTCTTAGTACTTGGCGGGAAAGATCTCTTCCCACGAGGCCCTGGAGTGCCTCTGCCCTGTTTAAAAATGGTTTCCTGCATTATTCCCTGAATGTGGAGAAGGCTGTGCGGTGTTGATGGTTCTGGTACAAATACTTTTGAAAGAAACAGAAATTCTCCCAGGCCTGCTATTGCTTTATGCATCAACGCACATATATAAATGCATTTCTTAAAGACTGTGCGAGCAGCAGGAGGTGTTTGGCAGGGATGCGGGTAATTTTAGAGCTGCCTTCATTGCTGAGATTTTGGCAGGGCTACGGCCAAGATATGGCAAATCCTCAGCAAGTCACAAGACAGGGTTGGCCCGGGCCCTCCTGAGCGCAGGCCAAGAATTCTTAGCACTAGCCGGGATCATAAGAAGTGGAACGACAAATCTGTGGAGTTTTACTAATCGGTAGAACTTTAAAAACAATGGAAAAGGCTGAACCAAACAATTCCCCCCCCTCCTGTTCCTCTTCATCTACACCTGATGTGGAACTCTTAGATCGGCCAGGTGCCCCCCCAAAGACTACCACTTCCATGACTCACTGGACATGTTAGCAGGAGCTTCCGGAAGATGTCGCTCACCTACAGGAAATGTGGCCAGCTTTGTTTCTATCTCAATAGCTCTACAGCTGAGATGTTAACCCCTCTTGTCTGTGCTGGTAGGACTTTTAACCTTTAAAATTGATCTGTAAAATAAATGCATGCACACAAATATTCCAGATAAACCTGTTAGCACATCGTGCTTGATCCCCACCACAGAGATGGAAGCATTGGCAACGGCCTCTCCTTGTTGATCTGTTACCACACCTTTAATGCCACGATGAATCTGCAAGAACCAAGAGAAGGCAGCAAAAATGAAGTACTTATATCCTGTCTTTTCTACTGCTTGTGTGCCTGAGGTTATTTTGAAAATAACTTTCAAAACTCACATGAAGTAAAATAAAGCCTAGCACAGTGGTTAAGCCGCTGTACTGCAGCCAAAACTGTGGTCACGACCCCAGTTCAATCCCAGGTAGCCGGCTCAAGGTTGACTCAGCCTTCAATCCTTCCGAGGTCGGTAAAATGAGTACCCAGCTTGCTTTTGGGGGGGAGGGGCAATGTGTATCCTGCATAATTAACTTGCAAACCGCCCAGAGAGTGCTTGAAGCACTATGGGGTGGTATATAAGCAGCACGCTTTGCTTTGCCTTAAGTCCTCCAAACTTAGCTGCATTAAAAGATACAATCTTGCATCCATTATGAAAGAACTCACCAAAAGCACACATCTCACCGGGACAGAAGTCAAAACCTAGGTTATGTGCCTTGCAGGGTGTCGTAATGGCAAAGGCCTGGTTCTGAGCAGTGGCATCTTTTTAGGTAGACCCTCCTTACTTCAAAAAGTGGAGGTCAGAGCACAGAGTCCAAAAAAAAAACAAAAAAACACAACAACTCCAAAATGCATCTCCCTAATTCACAGCATGTGGAAGGAGAGGCCCTTCTGCTCTTTCACCTTAGGTAGCATAATGTCTTCGCCCACCGTTAATGTCCATTACCACCAAGCCAGACATGAACTGCTTCTTACCTGCTCCATGAAGGTTAATAAGGATTCCTTGTTATTTTCCCACTCCTTCGGCAATTCACTTTCGTGGGGAAACTTGTCACACCCGGGATAGATAGAGAGTTCCAAGCAGTTGGTGTGAAGGTAACTGAAATCGTTCATGCCTGGAAGAACAGTGCAAAGGAAATATCAGGATATCATCTCACCACACCCCTTAATTAATTTATAGACTTCAGTGCCACAAGGTATGGGAAGGACCAATATTCTCAGGTTTATAAAAGTGGATTAAAGGCATTCAGGAAGGAGAATGCGGATCTCACAACAGTTTATTTATTTGCAGTGCTCAGAATCTCCCAGCCGGTAGCCATGTCAAGTGGGGAATTCTGAGAGTTCTCATCCACCCACCCCAAATTAACTTTTTCAAGGTCTAAAGAAGTGGTGGGCAACTTTGGGAGGCCTGGAGGCCAAATGATTCCATCCAAATAATTGCTGGAAATGAAGGAGGGAGGTATAAAAAGAAAGCTCAGATAGTTTTGAGGTTTAAGGTTGGTGGGGTGCTTACAGAAATTCATAACATTAGCATGAAGTTTAATTTTTTTTCTTCTCCCTCCAAATCCCATATTCCTTGTCTGTTTTGTCCTAAATTTTAGATTCTAAGCCTGAAGGCAGAGACTACCATTATCTATCTTGTTAATTGTTTTAAGAACTTTTTGTCTACAAGGCAAGAAATATAGAAACTAAAAACACACATATACAGACAAATGCTTGCACACTTCCCTGCCTTGCATATCTTTAGCATTCCTAGTGACTCCTTATAACATATCAGACTGACGTGTTGACCCTACCCACGACCAGTATGGCCACTGGATTCTGGGAAACTTTATTCCAAAAGTAACTTTTCCAATCTCTTCTGCCCCTGTTCGTTCTCAGGACTTACTGCCTGCACGTGAGTGCCACTTGGCACCATTGACAATTCCCATTCCGTTGGTAAGATCCTGATAATGGCAACCACCTCGAAAAGTCTCAGCCATTGTTAGGTGGGCTGAGGCATAAGAAATGGCCAGCCAGCGGAAAATGGCATGGTCTGGAGTCTCTTTAATTTCTGGGTTCTCTTCTTCATAGTCATCCAGTGGTGACGGAGGAGCAACTTCATTCTCACTGACAGGACGAGACATGTCAAAGGGGTAGGAGACAAATTTCTCCCCTCCCTGGAAGTTAGCACCAAGGACAAACGGGATCTTTTCCATCCAGGCCATGATGGCTTTCACTTCCACTGCAATCTGGAGAGAAAAAAAGGGAACACGACATGGGGTCAGGTGTGATGGGGTGAGCCACGGAGGGCTGTGGTCAGGGCCATGCTGCATAAGAGACAAAGCCTCGCTTGGAAAAAAAAAGACAGAGAAAATGCCCAATGGCAAAGATCCAACATCCAGTTCAAAGAACCAAACAGCAGCAGGTACAGTATTGGGGAAGGCTTTTCCTTAACACCAATGTGAGCAAATGTAGAGGGTCTTGAGGAACCCATTTTTGTTCCCCACCCACCCCAACATTGCCCCAAAAAGTATTTGAAACTGGAGACGACTGAACGTCCCCCTCTAGCTCTGATGTGTGTTGGAAGCCCTGCCCCTCCAAATGCTAAACCACCTGAGGATGACGGCTAGCTTATGTGACACAGGTTGAAAAGGATATACACTTCTGTTCTCCAACATCTCACCCCCTCTCTCCCTGCCTCCAAGCACCCACTAAGTGAGACAGTTCTAGACCTAATCAGGCAGATAACAGGCAATCCTGTTGAAAGACAGTCTTCAAAATGTTAGAAAATGGCAGAACATTAAAGAAAGATCAACACACCACAATAAGAGTCGTCTGACAAATTAATAAATGCCATACTTCTAGGAGCACAGCTTTACCTTAAAATGTTAATTCATTTAAAGTCAGCCTAATCTGCTTCACACCTGCTTGCTGTGAGGATAAAAACTGCAAGAAGCAGCCCTGATCTACACGGATCAGTTTAAAGAAAAGGTGAGATGTACAAATATTCAACCAATAAATCAGAAATAAATGCAGCCCACATACCGCAGCATCCTCTGCAAGGTAGTGTTCCGGGATGGGGATGTGGTGGTTGGGGACTTTGTGCGGTACCCATTTCCTCTCTTCTGCAGCCCAGAGGACGCTGTTCAGGTCAGGGAAGTTCTCAAAGATATCATATCCCTCCTCGCTCCAGTGTCCGAGGGCCCAGTTCCCCAGCTCAGAGCCCTGCCGAGAGAAAGTGGCACTCGTGGGATTATTGATGCTGATGAGATTAATAATGGTGTTAGGCTTAGTAATGAAACCTATATCCAACCTTCCTCAAAAAAAAAGAAAGAAAAGAAAAGACAGACTCAGGGCAGTTAACAATTTACATAACCAGCAAAGGTTACACATACCCACATTAATAAAAAACATTTGCTACTTACTATACAATAAAAGTAACACGAACAACAAGCAGCAGGAGACAAATCAAACACTGACTGAGGGTATGGCTACAACTGAAAAATATCACATTATTTGTGAATTTTTTTTAAAGGATCAGAGACTACCAGGGTAGTTTCTGCAGCTGAAAACTGCAGTAGCAGTTCACACATATATGATGGATTATCCAGGTCCACACCACATTTACAACCTGTGGTTGCTGGAAAATGAATAAATGCTGATTGCCAACTCCAGCACAAATCATGTGGCATTTTACAGTGTAGCTTGGAACCAATGAACATCGTTAAGCGAGGCGGCACTGTATACAAATAGACACAGTCTTAAGTATGCCTGTGTAGCCATACCCTTATTCCTTAAAAGAATATACAAATAGACACAGTCTTCAGTACACCTGGAAGGCAATGACTGGGGTGTTTGTGTGTGGAATAATCACATCTTTATAGAAGGGAAGTTGCACAACTAGGGTGCCATCACATGTAGCAGCTCTGTGGGACACAACGATGATGGTTGCTCTGACACACGCAGAATTTTGTTGGGCCACAGTGTTATTATGGATAGCATGGTGAGCAACCACCAGTGCTCTCAACTGTGATGCTACAAAGGCATGGACAGGTATTTAGCCTTTCCAGTAGAGACACAAAATGCTGCATTACAACATTACAACCTAGGCACTAATCAGAGTTTTGGAAATGTCTTCTTCGGACTGTAACTCCAGATTCTCCGAGACAGAATGGCCACTAAAGATTCTGGGAGCTGCAATTCAAAAACTGCAACTTTCCAGGTTCTAAATTAACCTGTAGGGACGTGGTGGCGCTGTGGGCTAAACCACAGAAGCCTGTGCTGCAGGGTCAGAAGACCAAGCAGTCATAAGATCGAATCCACGTGACGGAGTGAGCGCCCGTCGCTTGTCCCAGCTCCTGCCAACCTAGCGGTTCGAAAACATGCAAATGCGAGTAGATGAATAGGGATCACCTCGGTGGGAAGGTAACGGCGTTCCATGTCTAAGTTGCACTGGCCATGTGGCCATGGAAGCTCTATGGCTTAGAAACGGGGATGAGCACCGCCCCCTAGAGTCGAACATGACTGGACAAAAATTGTCAAGGGGAACCTTTACCTTTACCTTTAAATTAACCTGTAGCATTTAGGATGTGACAAAGATGGTCAGTCAAAGATTGTGGTCTGCCGAGCCAAAGATGACTTGAAGAAAGCAACCAAATGTTCACTTACATTTCTGTCTACTACAGTTCTTTTAAGCATCCATCTCATTTAGCTATTAATTTTCTTTCCTCTAGAGCAGCACTCCCCAACCTTTTTGGGACCGCGGACCAGTTGGGGGTGAGGGCTCATGGATAGGAATGTTGCACTCGTGGGTGGGTGTGTCACGCTCACAGAGGGGGGTGTTGCTCCCACACGCATGCCGTGAGCGTGACATGCACACCCGCAGATGTGACACACCCCTCCACAAGCACGACACGCCCCTCTGCAAATGCAACACACTCCTCTGCGAGCGCAACACGATCACCGTGCATCCATGTGGGGGGGCGGATATCCGTCTCCACGGCCCAATTCCAGGAAACCCACTGACCAGCACCGGGCCACAGATTGGGGGTTGGGGACCCCTGCTCTAGACTCTACCAACCCACTCCACAAAGACACATCCCACCTTGACTCACCGTTTGGCTGGCTATCTCGTAGCCATCGGGATTGAGTGAGGGGACAAGATGAATGCGAGTCTCGGTCACCAAGTTCCGCACCCGTGGATTCCCGTCCTTGTACTCTTTGCACAGAAACTGCATCAGCATTAGCACCAGCTCACGCCCCAATACTTCATTGCCATGGATTCCTGCTGTATAGCGGAACTCTGGTTCTCCTACAGCAAAACAGCAAAAGATGCAGGTCACTAAATTTTTCCATTAAAAACACTGTACCTTCTATACTACCAGATGAATCTGAAGTTTTTATCTTTCATGTCCACCCACTATATTCATTTTTTTTCAGCATCTCCAGATTTTCAGGACAACCCTGTTGAACGTAGCTCACAATATATTAAAAGAGAAAAAGTTGGATCCAGATTTAGTCCTTTTTAGAGCACATCAATTGAAATTAATGAGATAACATTGACGTCTTGACGTTAGCATTAGGATTGTCGGCACTTCCCCTCCCCTCTGCAGACCTCAAGGCTGCCTGGAAATCAGTTTTGGATGGTTGCACAATTCTCCGGAGTAGGTTTTTGGGGTGATAAAGGGACTTGATGGGGAAGAGGGGCTTGCTGAATTCTGAATGCTGAATTCTACTCTTTTAAGTCCAGCAAATAATACAATTCTAAATTGTTTGTTTGTTTATTTGTTTGTTTGTTTATTAAATTTATACCCCGCCCCTCTAGACCAAGTCTAATTGGCTGAGGCAAGTCCTGTAGATTTCTAACTGACTCTATCTAGATTCCATTTCAAATCAAGGATGTTTAGGCACTGGGGATGGGGGTCAATGGAAGATTTCCATGGGATTCCCTTCCTGTTCCTGTAACAACCTGCCTATGCACCCATTGCATAATGTGTCAAAAATCACGAAAAAAAAATTACATGGTGGAACTAAGCACACATAAATGCGCAATAGCAGCTATTGTAACTAAAACCCTGCTGAACAAAACAGTCAAAATACAAAAACAGAAGATAATGTTAGACATTATATGCACAAACAAATGTAATTCAGGCGATGTTATTTCCATAGCCTTCCACTCTAGAGTGCAATTTAAACTCTTGAGCAATAAATTCCCATATGTCAGTCGAAATATCTGAAGGACCATTTTTCTTCTGTAATTGCCAATGCACTGAGATCACCTACTGATTGTGGTACCCTCAGAGTTCAGGTGGGTGACTGCTAGGGACAAATTTATTTCTGTTGTGCCACCCTAGATTTGAAATAGCTTCCCAAATATATTTGCCTGGCACATGCTTTGATGTGTGGTGAAAACACTGGCCTTTGCTAGATTTTAATTGTTGATGGCTATTCATTTTTGTATTTCAATACTGCTTTTTAAAGTATTTATACCTAACTTTATAAATATTAATAAAGCTGCATATTACAAGCAGCATCTTCAAAACTGCACTCTACCTTATCAAAAACAAACGGATACAGCCACAGGAAATGGATTGATCGGCCTATTTCCACTATGCCAATTTCACATCTGTTTGTTCATAGTTCTGTCCTGTCTCCTATGCATATTAATTTTTAGTTTGTAAAAACATATGAACGTTCACTAGCAAATTTGTTTAGTTTTTTAATATGCATTTTGGTACATTTCTGAGAACTGCACAGCAAACTTTGCAGCAATGCAAAACCTGGAGGAATAGAGTCCACGTATTTGTCCAAGAAGTGTGGATCCGGTTTGCTTATACAAAACCCTCAAGCTTCAGTAACTGCTGGGTTACAAGACAAATATACAAAATATAAGAGCTGTGATCTCTCCTATGTACAGATTTAATCCAGTCTTTAAAATTGTGTAAAATCCACACATAACTGACTAAAGATCTATTTAAGCAGGTGACAGCCCAATTAACATCTGTTTTTCAAAACACCCGAATGTTGTGAGCCCTTCAGAGAAGTTTCCAAGCAGTGACATTCAGTACTGAAATATTTCATGTTTATAATGGCATCAGTCAAAACCCTGAGCAACATCCAGAAAAGCCATGCGCTTTGCAACCCAGAAACACTATATAATGAGACCAAGCAGTCAAGGAAGCGTGCTTAAAATTTAGCCTGAAATAATAAATTAGTTCCAAGGGAACTCTGGGATGGAAAGGAGGTTATTGTGCACCAATATTTACACAAGGCCAGTGAGATGGATAGTAAGTATGTGGGTTTTTAAAACATAACATCAGTTCCAGACACTGTAACAGAAATGCTGACTTGGGTGAAACAAAGCAAATAACCCAGGGCAATTCATATAACTCAAGGATGTTTCATATAACTTAGTGTGCAGTTTGCTTGCATTCAAAATAGTAATGTTCTTTCATTTTTGGAACACATGAAGCAAAAGAGAGACAGTGCAGTGGCAAGTCTGGTTTATAAAGAAATTAGGTTGACGTAACGCACTTGCATAGATCAGTCCCAAGACTTGCTGTGCCAGTGAGGAAATGTGTGGGAAGGAGGCAACGCAGCGGTTGCACCAACTCATCGCAATGACACAAAAATCCATGACTTTGCATTGGGCTTTGGGGGCGGTTTACTGAGCTGAGTCATGAAACCTCACGATTGTCTTGGCCAGCACTGCGGGGAGGCCATGACGGTTTCGGAGAGGGGCTGGCAACTTGTGGTTGTTGGACTGTAGCTCCCATTCAGCATTAGCTAGTCTAGCCAGTTACCACCACACCACCTCCGCATTATCTGACCGAAGAAGCTGCTCAGCTGACCGAAGAAGCACTGTAGCTCCCATTCAGCATTAGCTAGTCCAGCCAATGACCACCACACCACCCTGAACAACCTCCGTATTATCTGACCGAAGAAGCTGCTCAGAGCTGGGCCTCCTTATGTATTTGGATGGGAGGCCATCAGGGATTAGAAAGGGCTAGGAAAGAATCCTGCCGGAACCTCTGGAGAGCCACTACCAGTCAACAGTACTGGGCTAAATGGATCCAGGGTCTGACACAGACTAAGGCAGCTTCCCATGACGAGACTGTGGTCCGACAGCGTTCGTTGGTGGGGCACAAGCTGCCCACCCCTGATTTAGAATCAGGGTATGTAAAGATGGCAAGTCAAACTGGTAACTTCTGATATCTGTTCTAAAAGACAAACAGAGGGGTTTCTGGATGAAACAAATGGTCTAGATCCACTTCCATCTGGCTTTAGGCCTGTTTATGGAATAGAGATTACATTCATTGCTTTGGGGGGGTGACCTTCACCAGGAACTGGGCGAGGGAAATGCAGCTCTGTTGGCTTTGCTCGACCTCATGGTGGCTTCAGACAGCACTGACCAGGCTACCCTTCCGGGCTGTCTCTGTGGGACGAGTTCTAGAGCTACTGTTTAATGGAAAGTCCAGTGCTCCCTGAGAACCTCCTTTTTAGGCAAGCTTTTCAGTGATTTGAATGGGGTGGGGATTGAGAATGCTGAATTTACTGAATTCAGAGATTTTAAGAATATGTTTCTTAAAGTGTTTTTAATATTGCCATACGCTTAGCTATTTTTTAATATTATTATCTTACAGTGTTCTTCACTGTGACTGTTATGCTGTTTTGACTGATTGTGAGCTGACCTCAGTCCTCTATGGAGAGAAAGGCAGCATAGAAATAAATGGGGATTGAGAATGCTGAATTTACTGAATTCAGAGATTTTAAGAATATGTTTCTTAAAGTGTTTTTAATATTGCCATACGCTTAGCTATTTTTTAATATTATTATCTTACAGTGTTCTTCACTGTGACTGTTATGCTGTTTTGACTGATTGTGAGCTGACCTCAGTCCTCTATGGAGAGAAAGGCAGCATAGAAATAAAACCAATAATAAATAAATAAATAAATAAATAAATAAATAAATAAATAAATAAATAAATAAATAAATAAATAAATAAATAAGCAGAGATACAGATATTTGTCGTTTTGGATTACAACTTGCAGCCTTCCCTACATGGCAAGGGACAACTATTTTCTGTTTTGTTTAAAACTTCAAGCTAAATGTGTACAAGTTTTGAACCATTACAGTTCCTGGTACTTTCCCTTTAACTCTCGCTTTGAGGCCTGAGATATGAAAGAGAAGAGGTCTCGGTTCTTCCAAGACCTCCACCCATTCTTCTCTCGCAGCAACCTTGGATGCAAACTGGTTTCCAAAGTAAACTGAAGGCCTTGGCCTACACCTTTAAGCCTTGGAGCCAATTTACTACACAGGCTCACTTCATCCTTAGTTCCTTCCTAGTGTTCAACATCCAGGAACATAAATCTCTTGGCATTTGGCTGTTGGCCCTGCTGCTGGACATTCTTTTTTCCCCCCTTTTTTTCTTTTTTTTTGTTGGTATCTCACTAGGGCCAGAATCAATTATCAAGTTTTGTGCAACAAATCCAGCAGTTCAGTCCTTTAATATGTGGAGTTAAAACCTCTCTTCAGACAAACCACTTATAACTAAAGTGTTATTTTCATGCTAACTCTCTGCTTTTAATCTGACACTATTATAATTTTTAAAAATTAATTTAAAATATTTTTACCATGCCTTTATCCTTAAGGAGGACCCAAGGTGGTGTACATCGTTAAAAGACAATATTTAAAGATAGAAACATTAAATATACAAATATTTATAAGGATCAAACAAATGCTATACTAAAAGATGGTGAACAGAAGCAACACCAAAACACATTAAAAGTAGTAAAACACAACAATCCGTTTAAGAACCCCACTCAGCAGCCAGTCATTAAGGGAGAACATGTTGGAAGAGACAGGTCTTCGCCTGCTTGTGGAACGACAGCAAAGATGGGGCCACCTGACCTCCTGTGGGAGAACATGCCGAAGTCTCAGATGGGGCCACCCTGGCCTCCTGTGGGAGAACATGCCGAAGTCTAGGGGCAGCCACAGAGAAGGTTCTCTCCTGTGTCCACACCAAGCACATCTGTGAAGGTGGTGGGACTGAAAGGCCTCGCCTGATGATCTTCACACCCAAGCAGGATCATAAAAGGAGAGGCGGTCCTTGAGATAGGACTTTTTAGGTTAGCATCAGTTCTTTAATTTGTGCCTGAGAGACTGGGAACCAGTGAGGTTAGCATCAGTTCTTTAATTTGTGCCTGGATAGGGACTGGCAACCAGTGGAGTTGCTGTAACAAGGGGGTTATGTGATCCCTGTGACCAGCTCCACAACATACACCACCACAACATAAGACTTTGCTTTCTAGCTAGGTTTCTGTCTGCCATAAAGGAAGAATGAGGCTATCGTTAACAACTGGCAACCCTAATTCAGCACCACAGATTTATGGGGAAACACTCGGGTTATTGGGCATGTTTAGTCCATTTGCCTGAACCAGTTCTTTTGAGGGTAGGACTTCCTTACCTAGTTCATGCTCTCCTGGATTATCAGTAATCTCCATGGCATAAATTTTAAGCCCTCGGGAACTCTTGCCAATGTTGTAGATGCGAGTGATGGTAGGGCACTCCTCATTCACTACTTTCATAAGCTGGAGAGAGGGAAGAAAGAATTTTAAAGTACCCAAATAAGGATGTCTGTAAGAAAAAGCTGAGGAATGGGACGGAAATCCTCATTTTATACACAGACACACGATGTGCATTTTATGGTCCCGGGATGCTATTTTTGTTTGTTTTTTTACTTTCATATTTTTGAGCACTTCTGCCAGCTTTAGTGTTTTCCTAAGCTTGCCAATATTTCCTTCTTGGCTATATAAGAAATAGCTCTTATATAACCAAGCCCTGAGGACTAGAAACAAAAGGAACAGCAAGCAGGGGAACTGAGGCAAGAGAAATGAGGTATGAGTGGAGTCACTCCACATTAAGAGTGGCTTTCCTACATGATACAAAGAAGACATCCTCAATCAAGAGCATAGAAACCAGGTACTCCAGAGTTTCTACAGTCGTGTCCCGCTGGATGATTATCCCGCTCTATGATGAATCCGCTTAACGTTGAAGTTTTTGCGATCGCTTTTGCGATCGCTTAACGATGTTTAGATGGGTTTTTTCACTTAGCGATGATCAGTTCCCTGCTTCAGGAACTGATTTTTTGCTTTACGACGATCAGCAAACAGCTGATCGTCGGGTTTCAAAATGGCCGCTGGCTGAAGAAAATGACTCCCTGCTGTGTTAGGGACGGATTCCTCGCATTACAGGCACCAAAAAATGGCCGCCGTATGGAGGATCTTCACTGGACAAGCAGGTATTCAGCCCATTGTAACGCACTGAACGGTTTTCAATGCGTTTCAATGGTTTTTTTCATTTCGTTTGACAACGATTTCGCTCTACAGCAATTTCACTGGAACGAATTAACGTCGTCAAGCGAGGCACCACTGTATTTTTGCTGGAACGTGATTCTATTCCAACTTGAATTACCAACAGGGTGTAGTTGTAGGGTTGAAATATTTCCCAGTTTTCTTTCTAACCTACACCTAATAAAAACTGATTTTCAAAGCGATTGGTCTGCTCGGACTTAGGTACTTACCTGTCTCATATCCTTGTAGTTGTGATGGCGGAAGTCCAGGTTGTCCACTGATGTCATCACTTCATTTTGCATGCTGTAATAGCTGTGGATGCCTGCAAAACAGACCAAACCAGAAGGGAGGAATTGATCTAACAAATTAGGATTCAGTGGGGTGGAACTGAATGTCACTCTTTCTTTCTTCATCCATATCAGAACATTGTGCAATTTAAAATTATGGATGTATATGAAATAAAAAGTTGAAATGAATTTAAAATGTTAAAATCATTAGATTATATTTTTTTCACCAGAAGTGGAGTATTTCAATAGTGTTAGCTCAGCTATTTACTGGATCTTCTTTAGTACATGTGGTGGGGCAAAAACTGCATGCATATAAATGGTGCATTGATCGAATTTTTCCAAAGTCCCAGAAAATTTGTCCTATATCCAAGTTGCCTCATTTTACTTGATTATTTGATCTTCCTATTTTGCTTCAAAGTATATTAAATGGCTTCCAGCCAGAATCTTGTCCTGTGGGAGACGCTCTTTGGCATTCATCCATTCAGCAAGGTGTGTTGCTTTTTCTCTCCATAGATTTCACCTAGCCTCTTGTGGTTTAGTATTTAGGGCTTGAAATGTGTGCAGAAAACTTTTTCTTGACTTTAGCTGTTGTCTAGGGGGTTGGAGTTCATGAAGTGGGTTTGGTGCTGTATTGCCTTATTTGGTCCATTATTTAACAGCCAAATAATAAACCCTTTCAGCAGAGGTAGGTTTCAGGCAGCCAGTAATAACTCTTGCATGATTCATTAAGAGCAATCCACACTTGGTTTGCATGTGCTGATTTGTACCACATGGCACTAGTATATTTTAATGTAGA